AAGACATGGCCTTGGCATATACCTTGAATAACAAGTTTTAGTGTTATTGAAAATTTCGGATTTGAAAATTAAGGAAATGACACATTTTTCTTATTACTGGTAGGCCTAATATTCCCTTTTAAACTGCAATTCAAATTTAGAGACTGTTTTAATTTAATGTACTAACACAACCGAAGTATTATCCATTAGCGACACTAGAGACGACGGCAGTGCAATGTACTTACCCAACATACTAGTGCCTATGTGCCTGGAAGCATTATTAGTCCCGTACAAAACATGCATCTTCCATTGATGCCCGTAAATCCACCAACACATATGAAGATCAATCGTGTCATAAAATTCGTAATAGAATAAAAAATGTATTAAGAATTTAAATGCGTTTGACGGTTGAACGTATTTAAAAATCTTAATATATTTTATTGTAATACAAGCAACAGAATGAAAAACATAAAAATAAAAATACATTCGTAATAAATTTGCAATATGAAGGAGAGCGACGTGGCCCTCATATAATAAATGTCCACTTAGCTAATGCAAAAACTCTGAGAGACTATAACAGAACCTGCATTGCTTGTAACCGGGAAGGAAAACTTGTTTACTAAATGGATAAGACGCTAAAGTTTGTCTTTTGTCAGTTTTGCAAGGCAATATACCAGGAAATCTATCTCTCTGTTGGTATAAAGCAAACTTACGCACCGAAGTGTCCTCATCCTGCAGTTCCATCCTTCAGTAGGACCTTGCATAGCCACATTTTCACCCTAATCTGCAACAATTTGTACTTCACCATTTCCAATGTTTGCTGGATTAGTAGAGGCCGACCAATTTGCATAATTTCCTCGGTCAGCACAGTACCACCAAAGGATATTCTTCATTGAGTTTAGTTGAAAATGAACTGTTCCAACCTCCTTTATTAAGAAATATGAACCACCTAAATAAGATTACTAAAGGGATTACAGGCTTCATGTACGACATAATGTCTTGTGTATGAAAAGAGATTATCTATTTTATTTGTTTATGATTTATTTAACGGTGCTGTCAGTAACTCAGATTACAGGGTATAATGTGAACAGTAGGACGATTATGAAGCTCTTCATCGGTTGTGGTGTTCTTTTCCTATAGTTACTAGGACAAGGTCGTGAAGCTGCCTTTATCTCCAATCCGCTACCTTATATATCTCTACAGGACCGATAACTGTAACCTTTCTCTATGGCTTCCAATTTATAGACCATACACCATTCTCACATGCTACTTAATTTTCTCAAGAAGCCCCGAAGCGAATCCAGAAAATATAGTAATTATTAATTTAAATGTTTTCCAGTATGAAAATTTGAAGTTTTTGGAAGGTAAAATTGTGTGTGTGTGTGTTTTTATGGCCACTCCAAGTTTTAATTGTTGAAGAGAGACAGACATTAATTTTTAAGTCCTGAAGATCATGGTAAAGATTTGTTTTCACTATCACCGCCAAGTAACAATACTCAGAGCACGAGAGTGTAGTGTTTCTAAACAGCATGGGCTTACCTCTCCTCCTAACACTGAAAGGGTAAAGTACAAAAATCTTCAGGCGTAGAGATATGTGTTTATTTGTTAGCAGCGCACTCTCTTGGCTTAAAGTGGGATTAGAGGCAAAGTCACTTTGTCTGGGCTAGCATTTCTCCATGTTTGCTCATCTGTTTGCCGGGAGCAGCTGCCCTTTCTCCGTAATTAAAGTTTGAATACTTCCCGATCAAAATTTTTGTATGTTCCTTCTCATTTTCTGACAGAACTTTTCAGTAATTCCGTGTTATTAACTCCTTGTTTCTTCTACCGATCAAGTCATAGTAGGAGTCTTTCGAATTAAGATAATTATTAAAATTTTTCTTTGAAAACGGACGGCAATGTTTCAGCTGCAGAGGCTACATAGCGATGCATTAGAGCGTATAACGGCCATAGTTTACTTAGAAATGCTGGCACCGTTATACGCAAACAGAAGCTTATTAATTTAACACATGGCGCCATTTTATGTGATGGTTAAGCTATCTTAAATCTGTTCATATGTGGAAATTCGAGTCTTAAAATGAAGTTAAAATTATAACTGTTTATCTATAAAAACAAGTGCAATGTTAATGAAGTATGAAGTAATGTAGCTGAATATTGTACAACTGTTCTCCCAATTGAGAAAACTGGCATCAAATAAGTCGTATCCTTCCACTACGTAGCCTTATGAAGAGAGAATTTGTATTCGTTTATAAGTAGGACTATATAAATAATTCGTAACTAAAACTCGGATCATGATTTGTTTAATCCGTCTTGCAGTGCGTACACTTATCTATCTTCTTCTCTCACTCTCACTACATGTTTCGGCATAAAAATGCCATCTTCAGGTGCTACTCAATTCACGTCAAACTAGTACATTGTATGCCTTGTCTTCACTTTAAAATAACTAAAATATATGTCCATCATATATATTGACAAATGTCAATCGTAAAAATATTAAAACTGTTCAGGA